CCCATGCACTTCAATCCCTACCAACATAACAGTAAGTTACCCCAATACAGAAACTGAGGAGTCTCACACTGTCTAATCTGGACACAGAACCTCATAGTTACAGATGCAGGTAAGTGGCTGGTGATGACGGTTTTGTTGATTAAATGGATACAGACCCACACACTGCTTTCTCTAGGGTGGACACCATAATAGTGTACTGCCTGGCATCCTTATAAAGCCTCTGAGGCTTTAAAACCTGGGGCGATGGAATGTTTGTGTGGTAAAGACAGGAAAATCTATCCTGAACCACGTTCCCAACTGCCAGTTGCAGAGAGTGTTCTAAGATGGAGTTCATGGTCAGTTCAGGGACTCCATGTAGGGGAAGTACAGTTTTGACTATTACCGGTAATAAACATACTAACACTGACTAAACACATTTCTTAACCATACATACTAGCTAACCATATTAAAAACAAACATCAGGCACCATACAAAGTAAGTGCAGTATTTTTCAAGTAAATAGAACAAAGACATGTATTTTTCAAAAAATTTCTTTGCTTATTCAACATTTGTTTCCTTTTCTCTCATATCCTTATATCTTTTTCATTAAGGACCCATTCTAGATAAAATTAACCTGTAGACAAGTTCTTTAGAGAAAAGTTACTACAGTAAAACGCCAATAGTCCAGCATCTGATGGTCCGGCACCATCAGGAACCAGGAAGTGCTCTGGGCAGCCGGACCATTGGAGCTGCTCTGCCCCCAGGTTCCCCGATTCAGCCACTGCTAAAACTGACCAGCTGCTGAATCGGGGACATCTAGGGCAGAGCAGCTGGGGTGCTGCCGGGTTGGTCCCATAGCGCTGCCCCTCGGGGCTGCAGGACCCAACCCGGCAGCACCCCAGGTGTCCCCAAGTCAGCCACTGCTGATACTGATCAGGGGCTGACTCCAGGAAGCCCGAGGCAGAGTTGCTCTTCCCTTGGCTTCCTGGAATCAGCCCCTGATCAGTTTCAGCAGCGGCTGACTTGGGTACACCTGGGACAGAGCAGCTGGGGCGCTGCTGGGTTGGTCTGGTA